TCACTGTGACCTTTATCTTTTTGGCTTAAAGTGTGTTTTCTTCTGTGAGGCTGTGTGGAAGGAGTAGCAGTATGAATGTATAAACACACACTAGCTCTCTGCTTTGATTTTACGACAATTCCCAGTCTGATCTTCCAGACCATACTCCGAGAAAATCCTGAGGGGAAAAATGTTGTTTTGGTGCTAACAGATTTTCGCTTTGAGATTTCATCAGCAGCATTCCTTATCAGCAGGGAGGACGTCAGCGTGGTGAAGGCCAGCCCCGGTATTCCTGTTGATGGTGTGTGAGTCAGACGCAGGTCAACCTCACAGTGACTTGTGATAGTACAAGTCCCCCCTCCACCCACACAGGTTTCCCTGCATGCTGCCTGTGTAAACTTCACATCCCATGTCGGGAAGAATCACAAAGCTGGAGCTGTTGCAGAATCACACCTTGGCTCGCGTGCAACAAATCTGAGTCAGTGACAACACAACAGCTAAATGAATCCTTTGTGAATCTACAGACTGTTTTAAAAAGCCCTATTTTGCTTCTTCAATTACGTTTCTTTTATATAAATCTGCTTCCCGATGTAATTCAATGGGAAAAAGTGTTTTTGGGCCCAATGGCATCGACACTTAAGATAAAATTCCACCATTTGGCCACTACGAAAATTCCCTATTAACCTAGTGCTCTTCTTGGGGCTTGGTATCCAAAGACATACCTCACAATAATACTAATGTGCTTCTGCTGAATGTGCAAATAGTCCATTGTCTGCTTTCATACAAGACATATGCACTTTGTAATGGAATACCCTTGCTTTTTTTAATTTATCCAATCAAATCCACGTTTAAAAGTGTTATCAAGAAATCCAAGTAAAAGACCAACCAGGAATCAGTTTCTCAATACTTTTTGACCTTCGACTGCTAGCTAGCATTCATGGGGGGTAGACGATGATGATGATGATTTCAACACACATTCTCAAAAGAAGAACGCAGCTCTATGGAAAATACTTGTTATTGATCCATAGGTGGTTTTAGGCTTTGATTTGTTAAAATAAGAACATTTTGAATACTTTCAACAATGGTTCCCAGTTATGAGTCCTAAAACCCAGAAATGACTTGACATGTTACCACTTCCGGTTCCCATGTCTCACAGTCAATGGTTTGTTGAACGTGTTTCTTGGTTAGACGCCAAAAGTCTGGTCTGTGGTTGACACAAGCTGAGGAGATTATCACGTTTTGTTTTACGACATAAAATACTTCTAAAGTAAATACCCTACAGGTGAATCTCTGAAGCTTGTACACATCATACAAATGATGGTTGCTAACAAGGAAATAAATAAACTACTATACATCATCACATCGGCACAAGGCCATCTTTAGCTTAGCGGTGGTGACGGGCAGCCATGGGACAGTGACGTAGTTTGTATCATTACAAACGTTTTATTTCTGCCGATTACGTTAACCTTTAAAAAAAATCACAAAGTGGAGATTATCGTTCTGAACGAAGTATCATAAACTAGTGTTGGCCACAATGTTTATTTTCTGCAATATACCGAAATCCAATGGGGAAATCCCTTTGTTTTTTGTTGTTGAACTTGCAATGCTAACTTCCAAGTCTGCCTAAAAAAATATGTCATCACTGCACCACTCTATTGTGATGAATATACTTGTTTTTACAGCAGAGATTGTCTTATATCATTTATGTGTGCTTTTCCTATTAAGATGGCACATGTCAGATTAATGGATTGATCAGGAAAATGTATTTTTCAGACATCAAAACAACATGAATATTGCAAGGTAGACAATAGCAGGTGAATACCGGTCAAATCCAAAGTATGGTGAAGCTTGTCATGCTGCCAGGTTGACTGCCAGTATAGGAGCCTTTCTGTTTAGTCCCAAGCCCAGTGAACAAAAGCTGCTTGACAAAGCTGGGTTCATTCCCCCGGCTTGATTGACAAAACCCAGCCAATTGTGTTAGCGTGTCAGTGTGTGCTTTCCACCGGCGTCATTGTAAAGGCAACAGAGGCTGTTGTCGTGGTGAACAAACTCTGACCTTCAGTGTAGGCACAGCAGTCCTCTGTGGCTGAATGAGGTCAGGACCACCCCCTGTATGAGGAGTAGAGAGCACTGTGGGAGGTGACGTTTCTAAGGTGCTACAGAGGGGACTCCTTTAATGCTCCCAACATTATGCAATTCTTTGTTGAATATATGTTATGAGTGAAAGACGCACACATTTCTTTGAGTGGACATCCTAACTGCAATTCAAATGTATCTACATGTGTTAATGTGTGTGTAAGCTCTGTGGGCACAATGTGGATGTGTGTTCACTCACAGCCTTTGTATGCGTCAGTCCTGCCTCTATTTTAGACTCAAATGATTCACCTTCGTCTTTGTTTCACTCTGAAGTGGAGGCACTTACCCTCATCCACGCAGTTAATAAGTGGGAGAGTGAAATTAGACCTTTAGTGAGCCTCTCTTCTATTCAGGGTCCTTTCATACTGGTGAATGCAAATTACCCTAAAGGTTGTCCTTTTGTGTTGCCGTGACCAGTTAGCAGAGGTGTGCAAGGAAACTGTTGTTGGGGGAGATATTAAAGCAGATACAGAATATAAATATTTATAGTGTGTGTTTTTATCTTGATGTGCCTGTCCCTTTTTAGTTGAAGTCCCATCAAAGGGGCCCTTTTGTGCTCATTTTCAGCTTCATATCAGTATGTAGTGTCTCTACTGGGACATGTCTCCATGCTTTAATGTTCAAAAGGCTCTTTATGTTTCTCATACTGCCTGTGCTGCAGCACCTCTTTTCACCCTCTGTCTGAAACCAGAGTCCAGTCTGCTCTCATTGGTTAGCTGGCCGGCTCTGTTGTGATTGGTCAACTGTTTAGAGATGTCACCCCTTAGCCTATCAAATACAATGAGTTGGTGTGCTAGTCAATAAAAGCGTCAGTGTTACATATTGATGTCACTATGTTACAGAAGTAAACAAAGGAGTCCAAGGGAGGCGTTTCAGGCAGGGGGGGTGTGGAAAGAAATTCCCTCTGGAGGGAACACTGGGATTGTGTTCTTTGCAGACCATTTACATGCACAAAAACCTATATAACACACTGCAGGAAAAGGAAAACCCACAAAAGTATAATAGGGCCCCTTTTATACACCATGTTCTGGGCAAGTTAGCCCTTCAGCCCTTCAGCAGTGTTGCACATATATGCCCAATTCAAAAGATGCAATGTAACAGTAGAGGTGATCTTCCTGCTCTAAAGAAATTGGGGGGCAGCATTTCACCCGATCCATCCTTCCATCATCAGCCGATCAAAATAACACTGCTATCTTGTCATCTTTACATGTGGCAGCCTATATGTTTCATTAGCCATCTAACTGTGGCGCTGTGGTCTATGTTACAGTACATTTGATAATTGTGACCCGCTCTATTGAAATCAGTCGGAAGTCTCAACGGCTCATTTCAAAATAAACGTGGATTTGCGTAAACAAATAGTTTTTCGGGGTTCGGGTGTTTTGTTTGATTTTAAATAAACAAAGTCTTGGCTTTCAGAATATGAAACTTGTATTTCCAAAATCACACGATAAATACATGTTTGAAGCTTGTAAAGGGAAGATGACAGGCACCTCTCACTTGCACCCTGCTCTTACGCAGCGCCGCCCCCCTCCCTCCGCTGAAATTATGAATGTAAGGCGTATAATAATCATAGATAACACGGCAGGGTCCGTTACAGTTTATTTTCATCTGATTTCAAATAAACAAAGTCTTGGCTTTCAGAATATTAAACTTGTTTCGGCAAATTCAGATGATAAATACAACTTTGAAGCTTCGGCATAATTACAAGCGGAGAACGGAGTAACTTCACGTCACAGCAGGCATAACAACAGCCGGTGTTTCTCGTGAGGGTTTTCCCCGGGAAACAAACACAATACACACAAATGCAAAATTACACAAACACACACACACACGTATACATACACACTCGCGAGCTTCCCCTCAGACCAGTAATCCAAACGAAAATATCTACCCTCTGTAGTATTTTGATCATTTGCTAATAATCAATCAGATCGATGGATTCCAGAGAAGAGGAAACTTTGAAGGCCTTTTTCTCAAAATGATGACTCGGTGACAGTCTTATATTATTATATAATGTGACATATTTCGCTTAATATTTGGAGTACAAAAACAATCCTGATCTCAAGAAAGCTAGGAATCTCCTCTTTCCAATAGTGTACTGTATACAACTCAAAATGTGTCTTCGGGTCAATGCGACAGATTTTGATGGAGCAGGTCACAATTAGTTTATTGACTAGGGTCCAGGGGGATATGGATATGGGCCAGCTTCCTGCCGGGCAGCAACAGTTATAGAGTTATATAATATAATGTAATTATATAAAACAAATATCTAGCTCCAGCAAGCATATAGACTACCAATAGAAAACAATGTGCTGATGAATCTTAATAAAATATATAATGCCTCTAGTTTTTTGTAAGAGTTTAGCTCTCATCATGGGTGCCTACCTCCACACACTCACACGATGACTGTTCTTCGGTCGGTGCATTGGTGTACTGGAGTAGATTACCGGCATAAGCCTTGTTGTTTTGGAGGGTGGGGTCAAATGCATTCTGACTGTAAACAAACATCTCGAGAGTTTGAGTGAAGGCGAGCCCAGACCGCCCTCACGAGGAGATCACTGATGATCACCTACGCCAAAACCAACCAATCCATGGTCTGAAATGTTTCGAAACTGACTCAAAGTGAATACGTGCTCCACCTTTGATTTATTGAGTGATTATTTTTACAGCTTGCATTTTCTGTCAATCATGAAAATGAATGAATAATTCCAGTTCAAGAAAAAAGTCCTGGTTTGTCTCTATAGTCCAGTGGTCAGAGGTTACACCATATGGAGAAAAGAACCCTAAACAGAGAGTCCCTGGGTTAATTTGCGGCCTCAAACTGTGCTGCATGTTATTTCCCTGTCTTCAGACTAACCTGTGTCAATGTGTCCGTACTTTCCCAGCGGACATCACCAGAATGTGTGATGTGGACGTGAACCCCGAGCCCACCAGTCCCACCCAGTACGGCGAGTCTTCCGACAAGTACTACCATGAGGACCGCTGGCAGAAGCTCCGCACAGCTGTCAGAAAACTGGAGTTCTGGGAAAACTTTACTGCTGAGCTGATCGGGACTGGCTTCTTCTCCAAAGTCTATAAGGTACTCTCTCTGTTCTCTCTATGTGTTGCCTTGTTGCCGGCCTACGTGTAAGCTGCCATCAAAGAATGCTTTGTTCCAGACACACTAATTTGAACATTCTTGTGCATTCCATGATTGGCCCACCAGCTTTGGAGAACATAGGGCGCAATACTCAGCCTAGGCGAAGACCTTACATGATTCCTAATGTGTCACCAGTGCAAGAGTGGAGCTGATTTTTGACACATTTAGGGTTTGTCAGAATCAGAAACGGGTTTATTGCCAGGTAGGTTCACACGTACAAGGAATTTCACTTGATGTCATGGTGCATACATACACATTTAAAACAACATTTTTAAAAATTACACAGATAGCGAACTATATTAAGAACACTGTAATAAAAATATAGTAAAATAGCAATAAAATAAGCAGTAATTTACATCGAAATAGAATGCAATAATTTATAGAATATAAAATATGTGCAGTAAGCAATATTTAAACATTGTGTGCATTAATGTAATGCGTATAGAGTCTGCGTTGTGGCTGAGGTAAAGTGTCAGTGGGGGGGCCGGGCCTTGTTTAAGAGGCCGGTAGCGGAGGGGATGAAACTGTTCAGGTGGCGAGAGGTTCTGGTCCTGATGGAGCGCAGCCTCCTGCCAGAGGGGAGGGGGGTGAACAGTTTGTGTCCAGGGCGGGAGGGGTCGGCCACTATGTTCCCTGCCCGACATTCCTGCAGATGTTCTGCTCCCATTTGAGGTCCTGGGCGATGATGGTGCCCAGGAAGCGGAAAGACTTCACAGCAGTTACTGGGGAGCCACACAGAGTGATGGGGGCGGGTGGGGCTGCGCTCTTCCTAAAGTCCACAACCATCTCCACTGTCTTGAGAGCATTGAGCTCCAGGTGGTTGTCCCTGCACCAGGTCACCAGATGGTCCAGCTCCCACCTGTAGGCAGACTGGTCTCCACCAGAGATGAGTCCGATGAGTGATTTGTGATGGATTTCAGGTGGGACAGGACAAGGCGCTCAAAGGACTTCATAACCACAGAGGTCAGGGCGACGGGTCTGGAGTCGTTTAACCTGTTAAGCCCCATAGCCCCCGCCTGAGCGAAAAAATGCTAACGCACTTAGCACAGAACTCTAGGTATAAATCAGTGTAAGAAAAAGCTTTTAGAAGGTACTTGTCCATGGACAAGTGAGTTTGGCAGTTTACTTGTCCGAATACATTTCTGATGTTACACTGCGTTTGAAATGTATCGATTCCGATTCTGCTTATCGATTCCGGTTCTTATCGATTCCAAAATTGTAAAAGAAAGAGGTCAAATGTTTAGATAGCAAAAATATCTTTATTTTTTCAAGCTTTTAACTGACATTTTTATAAATATAAAATATGCACAATAGCTGTGCTTTATTTCAACTGAGGTAGCTGCAGGAAACCTACTGACATAAGTTTTATAACAGTAACTGGTTTTTACTGTTCAAGTACCCTACTATCATCACACTTTTTTTTAACCTTGCATACCTAAATGATGGAGCTTCGACAACCGGGAAGGGATGTAGCCCTTTGCTTTGACAATAAATGCTGTTACCGCTCTGTGAAACTCGTCCGTTTTTCTCTGGTCAGCTTTCCTTTTAATGCCAAAGAGAACGGTGTGTCGCGGCTAGCTGTACCTGGCACTTCTGGACATGTAAGCGGCGGGTCCGGGGTGCTAGTGCTGGCTGTTGATGCCATACTCGGGCTCGGAGACCGCAAGCCATTAAAGACTGTACATTATTTTATCTCGATGCCGTGCTGTCTTAAATGTTTGCTTAAATTAGAAGTGCAACCGGACGAACAAGCTATTAGCTTGCCACAGGCATTGCACTTTGCCTTGCCTTTCTCTTTTTGTGTGTAGTGGAGCCACACTTTTGAGCCGTTACCGCGATCCATATTTGGTGTTATGAGGTGACTGAGCCGAGCCGTGCATGCTGCTGGGTATCTAAACAAATCAAATCACACGCTGCTGTTCCATTGATGCATGACGTCGCCACGTTACTACAGGTCCTTACAGATAGCTACGTAGTCTTAGCCTACGTCCGTGCAGATATGTAGGCTTTCTTTGCAATACTAAAGCGTTAGTCTACCGCGTTAAGGAACCGTTAAACAGAACCGAAATTGTGTATTTTGTATAGGTACCCGGTACCCGGCATTTTCTTATCGGTTCTCATCTGGAACCGAGTTTCGGTTCCCAACCCTAGTGGAGGGGGAGACATTGTCAGGGCCAGCTGCTTTTCTGCTACTGAGTTTTCTAAATAGTTTGTCCCTGGTGAAATGAGCTATAAATAGGGATGGGTATCGTTTGAAATGTATCGATTCCAATTCCGGTTCTGCTTATCGATTCCGGTTCTTATCGATTCCCCGTTTCGATTCCAAACTTATAAAAGAAAGAGGTCAAACGTTTAGATAACAAACATATCTTTATTCTTTTAAGCTTTAACTGACATTTTTACAAATAAAAAAATGTATTGCATAATAGCTGTGCTTTATTTTAACTGAGCTATGCATTTGGCAAGCTATTAATAGACATTACACTGTGCCTTGTCTTTTTCTTTTTTAGTGTAGTGGAGCCTCACTTCAGAGCGTTTACCGCGACCCATCTTTGGTGTTATGAAGTGACTGAGCTCGTGAACTGTCTACGGGAGGGCGGGGGGAGCCTCGCTGCAGGGCAACTGTGGACCTCTGTCGCCTGTCAGCACAACTTACATGATGCCGTTTAAAAAAACTAAGGGCGGTGCCGGCAGTCAGCGTACCGAGCCGGCCGTCAACGGCCGTCAGCGTACCGAGCCGGCCGTCAGCGTACCGAGCCGGCCGTCAGCGGACCGAGCCGGGCCAAAAGTAGAACTATTATAAAAAACTATTTTAAAACTGTTATAACAATACAAATATAGAGAAATATTAACACAAAATATGAATATGCAAATAAAACTAAGTAAAGTAAATTGTGACAAAATACTCTCACAAAATGTGCTATCTATACACTTTTGAAATCTTATGTGTCTCAATTTGGATTCTTCCCCAAGTACACTGAATTTTCAACGTCATGGACACTTCTGCAGTGTGTGAATTATAACCAGGTAGAATTGTCGCCGCTGTGCCCTCACCAGAAGTGAAGATTGCTGCTGTTAGCTGGATAGCTAATAATCATTGCTACAGTAGCTAGCTATCTGCAATCTTTCTCAGTACCAAATAGTTACATATGGCTCAATTAACACAACAGATCCATGGTGGCTTCTTTTACACACCAGCATAGTTCTACGTTTATTGAATTAAGCCAAGTAAGTTAAATGTGAGAAGTGTGCAAAGTTACATTATTTACCTTGTTGACCAGTATGAGTCCATGCAGGTACTCATAGTGCATTTTGCCATACTTCTCATTGGGACGCAATTGTGCTCTAAAATAGCACGGTATTATAGAAGTTAGTGAACACACTGTTTCCACTACTAGCCTCCCCATCACTACAGCTACACCATGCACCAGTATCACTGTCTTAGTCTCTAATGGACACCATGTCCTTCAGGTGATGCACAGCACCAGTCGGAAGGTGATGGTGGTGAAGATCTACAAAAATGACGTGGACCAGGACAGCATCGTACGAGAGATCAGCCTGCTGCAGAAACTCTCCCACCCCAACATTGTCAGGTAACACATAAATAATCTGATTTCCCTCAACTCGTTCAGTCTCCACACCTTCCCACACACACTCTCACTCTTTCTGCACCTCCACAAACTGTAGTTTCACAGCAGCTTTTAGAACCAGAGTTACAGAGTATGATAGCATTAGATTTTGAAAAGAAATAGTAGTATTTCTTCTTAAACAGAATGACTAATGTTCTTATGTAACCACAGATCTCTTGTGCCTGTGAAGTCCAATGGTGCTCACTGTTGTTACTTTGGTGTTTTAGTTACAGGACTGAGGCACAGGAACCTTGGCCTTGTCACTTACAGCGGTTATATAAAGGGTGAGGCCAGGCAGACATGATGTTTGCATACGCAATCTTAATTTAGCCACTTAGCAAGATTACAGTGGTAAGGTTATCAGAGAGAAGCTTATCTGTTATGTCCTTGGTACACGCCAGGAGCCAACGCAATACTGTTGCTAAAATCTTCATTTAAATGTGACCAGGTGTCTGAAACACAGTACCAAAAGGACAGTCACTCAATATGTTACCAGTTTTAAACTTTTAGCTACATTTAAAACTCACTTATACAGTTGAATACATTTCATTCATTATATTCCTACACTATTGTGGACAAATGAAAGTCTGTCTGCGTCAATCAATCAATTCAATCAAATTGTATTTATATAACCCAACATCACAAATGATACGTTTGTCTCAGGGGACTTTACAGCGTGTACAGCACGACACCCTCTGGCCTTTGATCCTTGCAGCGTTCAATTAATTGCTGCCAATAAAAACCTAAATTAAGGAGGAAAAATGGAAGAAACCTAGGGAGACAAGAGGAGGGGTCCCTCTCCCAGGACAGACGGACGTGAAATAGGTGTTGCTTGCCACAATCCAGACGTAACCTTTAAAGAGGTCCTATTATGCTCTATCGGTTTTCCCATTCCTGTAGTGTGTTATAGGTTTCTGTGCATGTAAATGGTCTGCTGGAGTTTTTTTGAACATTGAAGCATGGAAACATGTCACATTGGAAGCAAAAAAGTATCATATGAAGCTGAAAATAAGCAGAATAGGGCTCCTTTAATAGTGGTAACGTGCCTGGTGAGAGACAGTAAAACTTCAGTGATGATGTCCTGGATGCTAGTAATATGCACTTTTGGGTATACGGAGATAGAGATAGAGAGGACATGAGAGCATGCAGATACCTAGGGTACCTAGGGCTGGTTAAATGTAAGCCTGAGCAAGCCCTAACTATAATCTCTATCGAAAAGTAAAGTCTTAACCCTGCTCTTAAATGTGGAGAGGGTGTCTGCTTCCGGAACCCAAACTGGAAGCTAATTCCACAGAAGAGGAGCTTGATACACAATTCCCCAGTGGGACAGTAGTGTGTTATGAGCTCTTTAAGATAACATGGTGCCTGACCATTGAGGGCTTTGTAGGCTGGGAGGCACATTTTTATTTATATTCTTTGTTTGATAGGGAGTCCCTTCAGAGTACGGAGCTATTTCAGGGTCATAAGTTTTGATCATTCAAAAAAATACAATTTATTTGAAAGTTCAAGTTTTTATCCTGAACTTTGAAAAATACAATGATGTATTCAAAATAAAAACAAGTATTTGATATCATTTTTGGGAATATAATATGTATTTTCACATTTCACTAGTATACATATTTTGATATTTGAATCCTTACTTTTTTCAGTTGCAGATTTTATGTTTTCAGATTCAAAACAATTACTTTTTCAGTTTTAAATCTTGTTCTTTCAGGTTTCACATTTTTTTTCACTTTCAGATCTTTTTTCCGCTTTCGTTTGGTCCGGATGTTGCTTGGGGGGAGGGGCTTACCAAAGAGTAGTTTGGCATTCTGAGTGACATTCTGTCATGTTGCCTTCATCGATGTTAGCGCGAGAAATATAACTCGACACTTTCTATACACAATACTCCCGTGATTGGTGGTAAACAAAACTGATACCAGCATCAAAGTTCCGTTAAGCGAGCTGTTGAGCATCGTAGTTGGCAACAATCGCGGTATAAGAGCAATAAACTGTTCTAGAATGTGAAATTACGCATCCGCAACGAGCCAGCAGGTTGTTCTGGTGGACCTGACGCCATCCCCCGCTGTCTCACGGAGAGATACCGCAGGTCCTTCCTTCCTGCAGCGGTCAGACTATACAACCACCACGGCCCCTAGTAGACCCCCCCCCCCCCCACACACACACAACAACACAGACTATAACACCCCTTGCTGTTAAATACCAACTAGGCTATGTGCAATATTTGGAATATATATATAAATATATGTATGCCGTTAAAAACTGTGCAATATATACCTGGCTGCTAAATCCTCAGAACTGTTACAGGATGTGTATTTTGTAAATTGTATAACTTTTTATTTTATTATATTTTTTATTATATAACTTTGTTTTAACTTAACTTTAAAGGTCCCATGTCATGCTTTTCTGGTTATTACCCGTCCCCTTGTGTGTTATGAAGGTTTTTATGCATGTAAACGGTGTGCAGAGTAAAAACCCTCAAAGTACACCATGTAGCGAGTAAAACTCTAAAACAGAAAATACCTCCCCAAAACGCCTCGTTGGAGATACGTCATTGTCCATTTGATTCTTCCGGGTACGCATGATATCAACCGTACCCGGAACGAAATGGACCAATCCGTGGAGCCGTTACGTTACGTCCGCGGAGCCGTTACGTTAAGCCCCCGCTGATTGGTCCAAATTGACCAATCCACAGACTTCCTCACACACACTGTTACAGCCGCTGCTACCTTGTGCCTTTAACGTTGTGTGTATGCAAATGAGCTGTGCCTTCCGATGCTGTGAGTGGCCGTCCCGACCTCGCAACATTCGCGGGGATTGGACAGACGTCACTCAAGCCCTGCCCGCTGCTGCCACGTCATCCGGGGGAGGAGGATAAAGGCTGGGCACGAACATCCGTCTGGAGGCCCTGTATTTTGTGACAGATGCCTCAACCCTCTACTTGTGACAAAGCCTTCCTCCTGTGATTCTGTTAGACTGCGTAGCAGTGTATTGTCTGTGCCTCGTTAGACTGCTTAGCAGTATATTCTGTAGGGTTCTGTGCGATCTCACTGGTTAGCAGTGTGTCGTGGTATTCTGTGTTTAGAGTAGGGTTTGTGTGTGTGTTGCGTAGATCCAGGTTGCTTAGCTCCTGTAGACCCGCATTTAGATTAGTGACATTGTGAAACAGCTTAGACCCAGGTTAGCTTAGCGCCTGTAGATCAGCATTTGTGTATATTGCTTAGACCCCGGTGATTAGCACCGGTTGATCAGCAACAGCTTTGTTTCCACACAGTTTCCTTTTGTTTAGTGTTTTGTTCCACTTTAGAAGTGAGGTACGTTCTTTCTTTTGTAGCCTACTGTGCAACTCTCTTTTGGAGTCCTTTGTTGTTAACCCGTAACAGTTTGGTCCGTTGTTGGTCCAGGCTGTTCGTGTGTTTATCATTGTTTTGTTCAGTTGCCGTCATAAATAAACCCACCGGTAACCAATACCAATTACAAACTGGTCGTGTCGTTTCCCTTTCTTACCCCTAGCAAAGAGGGAACGTAACACACACACTCAGTGCATGCAGCTCTGCTGATCTCTCCTCCCTGGCTGCAGGCTGATAACAGACAGTTGGGATCGCGGCGAAATTCTCTCTGCAGACCCATTCTCTCTGCAGACCCATTCTCTCTGCAGACCCATTCTCTCTGCAGAACCATTCTCTCTGCAGACCCGTTCTCTCTGCAGACCCATTCTCTCTGCAGACCCGTTCTCTCTGCAGACCCGTTCTCTCTGCAGACCCATTCTCTCTGCAGACCCATTCTCTCTGCAGACCCGTTCTCTCTGCAGACCCGTTCTCTCTGCAGACCCATTCTCTCTGCAGACCCATTCTTACAGCGTTTATCAACCTTTTTCTTACTCAATATCAAGCCACACTTATTGTTTTTACTTCGGCTGTGACTTTGTGTGTGCTCAGCTGTGTTTCGCTGTGTATCGCTAAACAAGGAAATCACACCTCCACGGAGCTTAGCGCGATTCACAACGTCCCGACTGGTCCCGACCAATCGGAGCACACTGGGCTCACAGGGAGGGGGGGGCAAGAGCTGCAACAAGCCGTTTAGTGGAGAGAGTGAATACACATACTTTACAGAGGTGCTGTATGCGAACCAATGTGAGTTTGGAAAATTGCACAGTATAAATCTATTCTAGTAGACCTCAACAATGGAATTATGATCAGTGGAAATGGCCATGACATGGGACCTTTAATACTTTTTTTATGCATGTAACATATGTAACATTAAGCTGTCTGTGGCTCTTTTTCTAACAACGTACATGTTTGGCTCTGTGGGACTATTAAAGGTATTCTGATTCTGATCTGATTCTGAACTACGATGCTCAACAGCTCGCTTAATGGAACTTTGACGCTGGTATCAGTTTTGTGTACCACCAATCACGGGAGTATTGTGTATAGAAAGTGTGGAGTTATATTTCTCGCGCTAACATCCATGAAGGCAACATGACAGAGGGAGGGCTCCTGTCACTCAGGATGCCAAACTACTCTTTGGTAAGCCCCTCCCCCCCAAGCAACATCAGGACCAAACGTTTGAAAGAAAAAAACAAGATCTGGAAGTGAAAACATATTGGTTTTGAATCTGAAAACGTAAAATCTGCAACTGAAAAAAATAAGGATTCAAATATATTTTATATATGTATAAAAGTGAAATATGAAAATACATATTTTATTCAAAAGAATTGCTGAACTCAATCAAAAATAATATTCAACCTGAAAAATTATTTTAAATACTTATTTTTATTTTGAATACATCATTGTATTTGGTGGATACATTTTTTTTAATGATCAAAACGTATGACCCTGATATATCTCCATATCAGAATAATAATACAGGAGTAATGTGCATACTCAAATCAAAATGTTGATTAAGATTTTCTTGTAAAATATTTCCAACAATACACAATTTCATGCTGTTTGTAATAACTTTTC